TATGTAATGTTAAAGCTCCATCAGATGAACTCATCCCTATCATCAAGATACTGAAGAGGATGTAGTGTAGAAGGAACTCATGCTCATACAAGTATACAGGTTCACTGGAAAGAAGTTATATTTCTGGATCAGTTGACCAGTAAATCCGAGATAAGGCAAGACTAGGCTAGAGCCTCTGGAGATAAATACAAGAAATCCATAACACCATACCTGTTAAATGCAGTGAAAGTGTTGATTCCTAAATATTGGAAAACAAAAAAGTTGCCAACTATAGTAGAGTGGATAGATGCATTAGTTCAGTGAGTCTACAGCAGACAGAAACTATTTTTAATGGCTTGGTAGCCCACTTTTATTTAAAAGAAAGCAAAAGTTTGCAAACAGAAATCCATACACTGGAAAATGCGGAGCCACCTGGCTCATAAGCTCATTCAGCTTCAACTGCAGTACCTCTCCTGGATACTTGGCTCTCTAGGCTTTAGACACAATGCCCTGCTTTAAGACCCACCTCTGACTTATGGATGGGGGTTCTCCTGACTCCCCAATAGGAACAAACCGGACTCCTGACTTGAGACCACTGTCTCCTGGCTTCTGGCTGGGTCCTCTGACCCCTCAATGAGACCTTCCATCTCCCCACTGGGAGCAGTCTCCAACCTGGAAGCTCTGAGCTATTCTCAGACCTGAGTATATAACAACACCTCACACCTGTGTAGTCCAGATTGCAGGTGTCTAGCAAAACCCAGACACAGGATTGAATGTTCCAATCCAGAGCTGCAGAATCCAGAGAAAGCCAAATCCTCAGCCTTCTCTGCCCAGGAACATTAGTCTGGAATGTCGCATTCACCCTAAATGAAAATCCTGTGTCACATTTTCCTATCTTCGCACAGTGACAGGGTCTCTTCCTGTCACAATATGTATAGGAAACGTAATGGAATTTGGTTTGACTGGATAGAATATAAACAGACATGCAGTATATATGAGTAAAGAAAGTGGGTTGGAAAATATGGGTAAGGAAAAGGCAGCCAATTGAGAAAATAGGATTGGGAATAGTAGCTAGTATTACCACTCCCACCCGGCTTGGTCTCGAGCTTTGAGAACTGAATACCATCTTCCCCTCCTGTTAAGGTGGATAGAATTTCCTTAGCATTGCTCCCTTTTGGGTGAAGTAAGAGATGAAAGTAGAATAGGGAAAAGGGAGGGAACAAATAAAGTGAGGAAGAATACCCACTGACTCACCTTAAATATCCTCTTTTTAAAAGACACATGGATATCATATCACAAGAGGAACACAGAATCACTGAATATTTTATATGCCTTAACATGCCTAAAGAAGAGAAAAGAGGGAAGAAATTTCCTCTCCCATACCCTTTTTATAAAAGACTGAACACAGAACACAAAACCCATAGTTAAAGAGAAAGGGGTGGGGGGAGAAGAGGAGGGGGTGGATAGGAGATAGAAGTGATGGGGTAAAAGGCTTTTTAACCACAATACCACAAATGTACTATACAACTAGCTGACTGGTCAGTAACATTGCCAGCACAGGCCACCTGTATTTGACTGTTTACATTCCTATGTGAACGTCCTGCATTTAATTTCATTTTAATCACGTGTGTACACTCTTTTTTGCATTTTAACCATTTCTCTAAATAAAAACCATTAATTTACTACACTATGAGACCCCCCTTTTTTGGTCATTCATGAGCACGTAAACCCCCAGGACCCAGGGAACATCTGACCCGGCAGGATGGATTAAGTTTCTTATGACCAGACCCATCACCCTGGAGAGGAACCTCTGATTGACATCTCCTTAATACACCCATATCATCAGAGGTGGAGAATTCTAGACCAGACCAGGTTCCATTGAAGGGAGTCCCCCAGGCTGACTTATATTATACAATGCGCATTACCATTGTGCTTCTGGTGAGTTTGCAATCCAACTAATCTCTCGCACACCACCGGATGATTATTATTATTCTTCACTATATGGGTGATTTCGTATTTCCATAATTTATGTAAAGCAACTGCTGGAATCCCAATACCCGAGCAGTGCTCCCACACCATTCACTTGGACTCACCATAACAATTATTCTATCTGGACTCACATTTTTTCATATGAGGATCATTTATATATTAAATTTTTTTTGGTCATTTATATGGTTTCTTATCATGCGCTGCACTATTGTGTGATTTGTTTGATTTTATTGAGAGGACTTGTAGTTCCTTTTTTTGGTGCATTTACTGCTTTTCATGTTAGCGCTCGCTGATTCCCATTGTTTTATCTTGTACTATATATTGGATTGATTTTAAAATAGCACAGAACGGTGGGAAAATAAAAAAGCTGGTAGCTGAAGTAAAGCAAAGGTCCAATAAGTAGCAATGAATGGTTAAAATAAAGGTTATTTGGATATGTACCCCTGTTAGTCTGTTCTCTCCCTTTTGTGTCATGTCTGTGTGTGAATGTACTTGGTGAGAGATGTGTTATAAACTTATAATGTTTTACTGCGGACTAAAATTTTCTAACAATCTATATAAAAATTATAATGCTATGACCTATTTTATGCCAGTTTGTTTTTCTTTTATTGTCTCATACTATACCCAGTGTGTGTGGAACTTCCAAATGGTTTGTGCATCTTTTTGAAAAATATATTAAGAAGCTGAAACATAGTAGTGTATAGATATTATTTCTGTGTATATGTATTGTACTGTATATCCACACTTATATACAATATATGGATGGAAGTCAAAGACTAGTTGTGCCATGAGTGCCTGGAACAAGAAGATTGTTGCCTTCCTGGAACTTCTGATCAGGTTGAGGATTCCTTTGGACTGGAATCATGATGTATTTGTGTAGTTTATCATCTTTAGACCAAGCTAAGTACAATTATTTTATTGTACTTTTTGTGAGTTGTTGATTTATGACACCACACCCAGCTATCTGAAAGTTTAAATAGAGTAACCTGCTAGCAAACAAATAACTACTGTAATAAATATTAACTGCTTTTACCCCCTCCCCCCCCCCCCCCCAACCAATCTTGCTGTTTTGAATGCTTTCAAGTGCAGAGGAGGGATTACTCCATAAAAATACTTGTCTCGTGTCTGTTGCTGTCACAGGTGATGTTTATACATTCCTTGTGACACCAATAAATTTCAAGTGACAGTGTAAAAATAAAAAAAATAATAATTAAAATAATTAAATAATATGTGGTTGCTGTGCATTTAAAAAAGTAGTGCATGCACTACTTTTAGCGCGGTGCGGTGTGATTTCAGCACAGTGTGTTCATGTGCAATTCAGATCTGGGCATAGTGTGAACCGGCCCTTAGGCCATTATCTTTTGAATAGTTTTAAAATTCCCTTTGAGAACTAAGACATTGAGGTCATCCATAGTGTGGTCCGGTTATGAGAAATGATGTCCTACAGGTGTGCAGAAACTATCTTCCTTATGTTCCTTGATGGTGTGCCTGCTCAGAACAGAGAGAGGGACACCCAAGGACACTGAGGCTTGCTGGGAGTGGGAAGGATTATGCGAGGGCTTTCTTTACAGCTTTGTTTGGTGGTGTGTAACCACCTGAAAGTAGCTGCATACCCCATGGTCTAAGAGAGTGGTCTCCAAACTGCAGCCCAGGGGCCCTTTACTTGTTTTTACCTGGCCCTTGCGTAATTATTCCCCACACTGTCAATAACAAAGAGGCACTATTCCTCCCACTGATACCAGTGATGTGGCACAATTCCACTGACACCAGTGATGGGGCAATAATCCTCTCACTGACACCAATGATGGGGCCGTATTCCTTCCACCAGCACCAGAGATGGGGCATTCCTTCCACCAGCACCAGAGATGGGGCACTATTCACTGACACCAATTCCTCCCCACTTGACACCGTACACCAGTGATGCGGCAATATTCCGCTCACTGATACAAATGATGGAGCACTATTCCACTGACACCAATGATGAGACACTATTCCTCCCATTGATACCAATGACAGGCACTATTCCTCTCACTGACATCAATGATGGGGCAATATTCCTCCCATTGATATAAATGATGATGCATTATAACTCTCCCAATACAAATGATGGGGCATTGTTTATTCCCACTGATGCCAGGACATTTTCATCTCTCACTGGCCACAGTCTGGTCCTCCTAAAGTTTGAAGTCCTTCAAGTAAACAAGCCCTTTGTTATATAGTTTGGAGACCCCATGGTCTAAGACTAAGATCTTGTGTCCTGTAATGTTCAAATAAGAAAGAATAAAAAAAAAAGTTAAATAGGTAATTACATACACACATACATATATTTTTTTTTTTTTGGTTTGCAAATTGTACTTTATTATTCAATTTCTTCAACGCACCATTTATCATGTCACTGAGGGGAAAAATAGAAGTTGCATATATATATAGATATATTTATATATATAAAGGTGTATCTATAACATCTCTGATACAAAGTGTAATAAATGTATAACCTAATAATACACACAACACACAGGAAACAAATTCCACCATTGCAACCCATTCACAACAGTGGTCCAAATATTTGGAAATGAAAAAAAAACCAATGTATTTTTAAAGTGATCTCAGTGATTATATAATTCTCCTACATCTTTCTCTATATTGGGTTTGGTAAGGACACATTCCTAGGCTTCAGTCAAGACCGCAGAAGGGTGTTGGACCTTGTGACTGATAACATTTGAAAAAGCTTTCTATATTTCTATAGTGGTCAATCAGTTTCTCTTTTTTGTTTTCTATTATTTCTGTCTAAAAGGAGAAGTAGATTGGCTGCTACAGGTGTGACAGACACATCTTTTACAGACTTGATGAGTGAGGCTCGTTATGTGGACATAAAGTGCTAGAATGAGGCATGTTAAATAACAGAAGACAAGTGTGGTAACCATTCTAATCTTGGCGGTAAAGCACACAATGAAGATGGCGGTAGGCTATGAACAGTGGAATGCCATTAGGGCTCACAGCTGATAGATGGCCCCCATGTCAGAATGTTTTGGTCATCTAACATGAACATGTTCCAGCTGGCCAGAGTCTGATATGTCATAGCTTGTCTTGTATTTGGCCAGGGTCTTCATCACTGGTCGCAGCTTCAGCCACCACTGCTCTTTTGGAATTCTGTGGTTGAAGTCCATTTCATCCCTCAGCTGCATGACTGGCTGGAAGACGAAAGCACGCCTGCGCATTCCTAGCAGGCAGACGGAGTCCTCTGTGTTAGCAAATACTCTGCCTTTTCTATAACATTCTTTCAGCTTCCGTGAAATCCACTGAATAGCTTTGGCTGAGATTTTTGTGCCGAAGTTCCTGTCGAATGGTGATGGGGCTCCTCCCTGCTGCATGTGTCCGAGTACATTCTTTCTGCAGTCAAAAATGCCTCTTCCCTCCTCTGAGTACAGCTGGTACATGAAATCCGTGGTGTAGTTCTCATTGCAATTTTCATTCCTTAGTACAAGGCCTCTTTGGATGCTTGTCTTCATCTTTTCTGTCAAATGCTCCACATTGGCCTGAAGTTCTCGAATGTCAAATTGGTCTTCGAAGATGTAAGCAGCATCAGCACCTTTGGCAAGGCCACCTATGTTGGCCAAGTATCCACAATATCCACCCATTATTTCAATGATGAAGACTCACCTCTTTGTTCCACTGGTGGATTGTTTGATGCGATCACATGTATCCGTTACAGTGTTCAGAGCAGTATCTGCACCAATGCTGAAATCTGACTGGGGACATTGTTGGAGACAATGGCAGGCAACATAACCATAGGAATACAAAATTCATCACATTTCCCTCGAGCAACAGTCAGCTCCATCAGTCCCAAGTAGGCCCCAAACCCTCCGATGACGAGTAGAGAGTTGATGCTATGAGTACGTATCTGTTCAGCGATTTGGTCAAAATATTTAGCAGGAAGAGTTCTTTTGGTTCCCAAAAGAGATCCACCCTGACAAGTCCAGCCTCCAACATCTCCCCATTTTATCTCTTTCACTTGACCCTTGACAAATCCTTCAAAGCCGTCGCTGACTGCAAACATCTTGTGTCCTTCAGTAATGTCCACTCTTACTGCAGAGCGCACAGCAGCATTCATTCCTGTGGCTGGAGCCCCCACGATCAAGACAGCCACATTAAAGTTACTCTTTGGAAGTTCAGATATATTCTTCTTATGGGAAAGGAGCTTGTATGTATTTAGATTGTTCTCGAAACTCCATCCACGCAACGTTACAGCGTCTGCAAACCTCCTTTCATCCATCACCTTTTGCACTTCTTGGGTCATCTGTACACATTCCATAAGAGGCTTGGTTTCCACATAGAGATCCTCTGGAGGACTTTCAGGGAGGAAGACCCAGTCAGCTCCACAAGCTAAGGCACTGACCAAGGTCAGGTACCCACAGTGTTGCCCCATGACTTCCAAAACAAAGGTCCTTTGGTGGCTCTGAGCAGTGGTCATGATGGCATCCACCACCTCAATAATTCTGTGCAGGGCCGAGTCATTTCCGATTGTCATATCAGTTCCACAGAAATCGTTATCGATGGAGCCCACCATTCCTACGATATTCAGATGAGAATACTGCTCAGCAGCTGAGGCTTCAATTTTTCCTTCTTTTACGAATTCATCAAGAAGTCCGCAGCACTCCTCTTGGAAAAGATTAGCCCCGGTTAAGTTGCCATCTCCTCCAATCACACAGAGATTAGTTATGCCACATTGGACTAGGTTGCAAGCTGCCTTCAAGCGCCCTTCACAGGAGCGAAATGCTTTGCAGCGGGCACTGCCAATTACTGTACCACTCACTTGTAAGATGCTTGACACGCTCTCCCATGATACCTCAATAATATTGTATCCACCATACCCTGATAACACTCATGGAGGAAGTATACTTTAGCTTCTACATAGATTCCCATGTGCACAACAGCATGGACAGCTGCATTCCTACCTTGGGCATCCCCTACGCTGGTCAGCACCCTGATGGCTTTCCCAGTTCCGGACAGGTTTTCAAAGAACTTCTGTGGCTGAGCCATGATCGCAGCCCTTCTTGCTCCTCTCTGTGATCAGTCGGTATGTACAGACAGACAGGGCTCACCCCAGGCACTATGTTGTATGCGGCTCAGTCCTGTCCTCCTCCATAGACTGAACACTGAGTAGGTATGCGGAGTAGGAGCAGGCCGGCAATGCTCTGATCTCCCCAGCTCGCTGACACTCCTAAAGCTCATCAACACAGCCACTGGACCACGCCCCCATCCCATACATATTTTTATTACCTAATATTTAATCGATTCATTCCAGGAATATCTACAAGCAGTCCTCCTTGTTGTATGTGGACCCAAGCTCTCTGTATGTCAGCTGTAAATAAGTGATATCCATCATTCAACAATACCTGGTAAAGAATTAAAAATATGAAAATAAGTTTTATTTTCCAAGAAAGAATTCTGTATTCCAAGACTTGCAATATGTAAACTAGTTACAAAAAGTAAGGGTGTATTATAAATAAAGCATGGGTACAAAACTGACACGGTTCCCGTAAATTATGCTTAAAAGGAATGTCTGGGATGCATGGGTTTTCTCCTGTGACATTACCTGTTCCCAGGCCTCAGGTTTGCCCCATCATGGAAGAACATATTTGAAAATTAACATACATGGGTATAGTCTAGAAATAAACTGAAGCTCAATCGCAAGGAGCAATGCAGATTAAGATCTTACAAACAGCTGAAAATTGTCTAACTGTTCCATGTGATAGCTCTGTTGCTCAATGGGACGGATAAGTATACCATGCTGTGGGGGTAAGATAAAGATGCGACCCTGCTTTAAGGAAAATCAGGAGCCACTTTCACATAGAATTATTTCACATTTATATTAAAAGCACAAGTCAACAGTAAAATATCCTTTACAGCTTTATATAATGTACATGAAATGTAACTGTTAATATATTTAATCAACAAAGTATTCATTATAAAAGCACACTATAACAGATAAAATCATAACTGACTTGTTAAGAAATGTCGGGAGTGTAGTGGTTCTGCACTACTAAAACATGCACAATATTTAAAATATTGTTGCAGCTATAAACTATCTTGTGACACTACAATAATTTACCTGTCTGATTGCAGGGTAATTGTCAGCAGTCAAGATTGAATCTCTCAGTAACATAAGTAATGCTAAGCAGAAGCTTTCCATCACTTTACGATTCCAGTCCTGCATGAATAGCTGATCCCATATAAGCAACACAGCTGGTAGATCCAGGGAATTTACAAAACCCTGAAAATAAATTAGGAAATGATGTAGCCTTTGTTACACAACAACTTTACATCTAAAGATTATTCATGTTTATTTGGCATTACAATATTGAACATTAAAATACAAATGTGTTCATGGTAACAAAAAAGCATGGACTGTTGAGGCATTAAGATGACCTGTGGTTTTGTATACCCTGTAAAACCCCATACACTAAATAAATTAATTTTTGAACACCAAACATATACCCATTTAACCTTCATAGTCTACAAACATGATTATGTTGTTGCATATGTGCTATAAGCTTGCTTTATTATGACAGTTTTCTAGTTTGTCTATATGTAATACATTTAGCTGTAGGATACCTCATGAGGAATCAGGAAGTTAATAATGGATTAATAGTAACAGATTTCTGCACAGCCAACCTAAGCCATGGCCTAGGGTAACAACGCTTGCTAGAGCAGCATAGAGCACACCATACATTTTGCTTCTGGCTGGGTCTCTAAACTTAAATCCATACCTAGAATCAGCTCCTTAGATCTGTAAGTACAACTTGGTGAGTGGGGTTTTTTTTTGTTGAGCTCATGAAAGACCTGTGACACTCTTGGTCACACCGAGGAAAGAAATGATATGAATCATAAAACTCAACATGGAAAATGGTACAAGTGGCTAAATCGCATAGTCTTTTAGAAATGGATAAAATGAAACATGATTCTTTTGATTGCTCAATTACAGGTTATTAGTGGTTAGTGATTTACAAGGAAATATCAATAGTTTATAAATAATAATTTCTGACCATATGTGAATATACTGTATATAAGTATATTACATAGCAAACATAGAATCTGAGGCCACACATCATGCAATGTAGACCAAGCTAGCTTCCTACACAGTCTCTGCCTGTGGTTACATTCCACTAATTTGTTTCACCCCGATTGGGTTTGGTCGTAGAGGTAGGAGTAGCCAGGATGGAGAGACTTTCATATACACAAAATAATAAAAACAATTTCTCAAATACCCTTACATGAAGGAGGAAGGATCAAAAGCAGGGAGGCACTATGGAGAATATCATTCACCACAACATGCAACAGGCTCAATAAACATACACACTAAAAGCAGTGATATATACTGTATATGGCTAAGTGGACATGAAAAGTTACGCTTCTCATTGGTTTTATGATCACTCATCCTCTCTCTGCAAGGCAATGGAAGTGAAAGACACACTTTATACAGAGAATAGTGCTGTACATACTGAAGACTGGAATATTAAACTTTCTTCCTGCCCAGGCCATTTTTTAGTTTTTCAGATACTTTGACTAACAATTATTCAGTCATGCAACACAAATTAATTTCATATTTGTTTTGTGGATAGATGGAGATTTCTCATGATGACATTTAATTATCAGTGGCTTTTTAATATATAAAAAGGGAAAAAAGACAGATAATTTGAAAAAAATGTTTTACCTGTAAAACTTTGCATATAAATATTTTCTTCATATATTTAGGACAAAATGTATTCTGTTACATTTCTTTGGTATATATATAAAAAAAAAAATCAACCCTGATGTTCAGAGTGCCTATCTTACTTCTTTAGGTTCTACAACCCCAGTACAGTAAAAACACCCCCAATTATTCAATCATGCAACACTGTACCCAAATAAATTTCACAATTTTTTTAGATAGAGATTTCTTTTGGTGATATCTAATGATCACTGAGTTCTTTACTATATAAAAAAGGAAAAAAGACAGAACATTTTTTCTTCATAAATTTATGACAAAATGTATTCTGGTACATCTCTTTGATGAAAAAAAACAACAACTGCCTATCTTACTTCTTGAGGTCCTAAAATGCCAGGAAAGTACAAACACACCCAAAGTTGTAGTGAAGTTGTAATATTTTTGACACAATTTTTGGGAAAATGAAGAGCATAAAAAAAACCTTTATTTTATTTTACAAAGTTGTCATTTAACAAGTTATTTCTCACATAGCATGAGCATACTAACAATTAAGCCGCTAACAGAGTCTTCTACTCCTCTTAAGTATTGGGATACTGCATGCGTGAGACATTTCCACTACCTAAATCCAAGGAGCATCTTCAGGCTTTCAAGGGGCATAAATAATGCATCTGATTTTCTAGCTACCTACCATTCTTCATAAGGCCCTAAAGTACCAGGGCAGGAGAAACACCCGCAAAATGTTTAAAATTTTCAAGAGGACCCTCCAACGTATTTAATTAAAGGCATGGTGAGTCTTTTGAAGATCACATTTTTTGCCATTGTCAATTAATAAGATATTTCTCACACACAGCATGAGCATATTTAAAATTCATCCACAGTCGGAGTGACCTTTGGTGTATGAGACACAAACGCACAATTTAAATTGTGCTTCCGGTGAGTGCGCAATTCATTCATTTCTTCTGCACATCGCCGGACTACATGCATCATAAGGATCTCACCGAGATACACTCATCTGTGTTTCTTTGATGACTGGACTGTACTGTGCATTTATATTGTGCGTTTTGTATTGTGAAGTGAAGTTGTGTGAAGCTCACGTCATTTCTTCCCCCCTTTTTTTCAACTCTTGGGAAGATCACATATAGTGTGTTTGGTCACATATAATGTATGTGGTCCACATCTGTTGACATTTAAGTAAGGGATATTGTACCATCTTCAATACTGGTACAGTCATATAACATCTAGCGCTGCACTATTTATCTCATATTGTTTGTTTGAAGGTTGATGGTTTTCCTTTTTAGTGTATCAGCTGCTGTGTCGGTTAGCGCTCACTGAATCCCTCATTACCATATTTAAAATTAAACCCCATAACACTCTCTGCTATTGCTCCCAGGTATATGGATACCACACGTGCAGGGCGGACTGACAACTCATGGGGTCCCCGGGCAATAGGGGATCATGGGGCCCCTGTGTCCTTGCCCAAACTCAAAAAAGCCTATGAAAAAGGTACCAGGGGCATCTCATGGGGCCCCCTACTGACCCGGGCCCTCGGGCAGTGCCCGAGTTTCCAAATGGTCAGTCCGCCCCTGCACACGTGCATGGCTTTTTGCAGCCATAACAAAAATATAATTGCTTCCAAAATGGAGTACTTCAAGTCTGTGCAATATTAGGTGTAACAATCTAAATGAGGTTTCAAGGCCTGTAATCCAAGGCCTTGGAGTGTACAAGAGTACAACGCTGTTACATAACCTGTAAGCCATTTATATTGCTCTCTCCATTCTCTATCTTCCAGCCTATGAATAATGTTCTTTGCATCACATAAGTAAGTAGGTAAATTAACCACTGAAGGCTGGAGAGAGTAT